AACGGCTAAACCCGAATGATTCTAGTTCTTGGTGTAGCGCTGTATAACAATTAAAACTAGAACTAACACTAGACCTAGAACTAGAAAGTTTCGGGCTTAGCCGTGCGTCTGAAGACTCATTCACTGGTTATAAAAAAAGTGACGTTACATAATGACAGAAAGTCATGTAAAATTTAATTTTCATAATGGAATTAGGTAATAATAATAATAATTAAGTTTATTGCTACAAAATCAGCATTATGTATTGTATTGTAATGTGATATATGTAATTGTAGTATTGTTAAAATTTAATTGTTTGTGGAATTAGGTAATAGTATATTAAAAAACAAGTTTTGTAAGACAAGTTTGAAATGCACGAATTCAAGTTGAAAAACGAGTGGCGAAGCCACGAGTTTTTTAATGAACGAGTGCTTTAAGTCTTATGAAACGTGTTTTTTATGCTACTTTTTGTAATTCGCGTGTTTATCCTTTTTTTTGAACAAAAATAAAATAAATTTTGACAATGTGCGGAAATAGGTATGTAGCAGTTGGTGACACCGTAACACTTGAATATAGAAATTTGAATTGACAATTAGAAACTGTCAAAACACAAAATGTATTCACCTGACAAAAATGTGTCGTGTATACCTCCCAACTCCCAAAATAAGAGAAATTGCTCAGAGTTCAATGTCCTCGATTCGATGCTAAGAACGTATTTAAACATCCATAGACAAACATTGTCACATTGACAACTAGAAAAATTAATGACCCAATGTGACCAACTTGAACTGGTTCCATAAAATGTTACTAAAATCTCATTACAGCATCGGATGCTGTAAGGAGTCTCATTACAGCACCCGTTTGAGTACTGTAATAGCTTTCATTACCGTCGCGAATTACAAAAAATTATTTGCAAACGCTCCTTTTCCCGTACTAATTCGTTATATTGAGGTTTAACTGTATTTTCTTAAAAATAATATTAGAATTCGATGGAATAACGTTTACCAATTCGGATGGCAGCGCTTTCCGAACCGTTAAACATTGTCGTCAAAATTCCAATCTCGACGACGACTTTCATAAAGGAAATATTACCATTGACTGGAGTCAATGGTCTGTATAATAAATTTCCGATCCGCAGGTATGACTTTGGGTTGTTCTTGACGAAAAGAGAGATTTAAAAGAGTGATCGTAAAAAGCGCTATTTTAACGTAAACAAAATTGCACCCTAAATCGATAACCAACAAAGACATTTTCATCTACACACACTTTTCGAGATGACGCCACCACCGTTTCTATATGCACTCGTTGGAAATGTCTTTTCATTAGGGAAATGTTGGATCGATTCGAGTAAATTCGACTCCATTGCAATTTGCCTTGCAGATACACATCAATCGTTTCCGCATTTTCGAATAAATCTCCATTTATTTTCGTTTTCGATTTAAATCTCGCTAAATACTGTTGATTATTATCGCTAAACAATCCCGGAAAGATGTATTTACGTTGACAGGTATAGATTTATACGAACATTAATCCAATGTGTCGGATATGATGCGAAAATTTTATCGGCAATCTGCTAAAGTGTTGCAATATAAAGTTGACGCGCAAAAAATAACTCGAACGGGATCCCCCCGCTGTATATCACGGTGCCATTAAAAATGTATCAACTTTGTCGGTCAAATTTGTCCTGTAATGCAATTTTGTATCAACACTTTTACGAACGAAATAAACTTGTCGGTAGTGCAGCCAACAATAATTTTGGTACAACCTCCACATCAAATTTACTGCATGAACAGAACGATGCCAACTCAGCAGCGTTGAGATATCAATTAGCAAATGTTATACGCTACATCCTAACGGATAGATGTACCATTCATGACACATATATATCAAGGCACGTTTAACACTTACTATTATTGTATGTTCAGCTCCAACTACAGTAATCATATGTTTATGTACACATCGGCGATAAATCAATGTTGATTAACACGTTCGTGATAATTATAACATACAGAAAGGCGTCGAAGTGGATTAACTCTTCTTCGTTATGATTGTAGTGGAATTAAAACGGTTGGATTTAAATGATGATTGGATTTAAATGTTGGTCAAAATGGATAAAGAGCGTTTGTGCCATCAAACATCATATTGTCGTCTCAACGCTGTTTACCATAGGTAAAGGGTATTGAATTTACATGGGACCGGCGCCAACCGACAATGAATTAGTAAATCAATATCCTGCGGGTACAGACGCGTTCCTTCGAAGACGCTCCGCATCCCCTACATAAATCTGCACTCGACTCCCCACGTTCAATTAATGCGAAGTGAGGGAGTCGTGACGATGGTGAAGGGAGGAAGCGAACGGTAGATGGATTCACGATCCACTTAAGCATGCATTACCTCCTCGGATATTAGGTGTTATATAATACCTAAAAGAAAAAAAAAAAACATAAAATCAAGATTGCTATTGATAATTATCAATGGTAGCTTGAACAATGAACCGGCGAAAAGGAGAAATTGGAAATCAGTTACCGGAACGGCTCAATTTCGTTTATTCGGAAACTCCTTGAGCTCTCGCCGAGACTGCGAAATACATTAATAGCCCGAACTGTGCTGGTGCTGATCAATTCCCTATCGTTGCCCATTCGAAGACGCCTCGAAATCTAAGAAAAATAATAGACAGCAAACGGAGAAGAAGTCAATCGAACAAAACTTCGGAACTCGGCAGCCCGAGAACTAAAACGAAAACTGCAAGGACGAAGAAGGCAACGTCCAAACTGGTAATGCAGAACGAAGAGGGAAAGAACAAAAAAGGGTCGAATACGAATTGATCGCAGATAACTTAAAATGCCCCACGTTCGCCTAATAGCAATTCGAGTTGATCAATTCCCGCAAGAAAACCGGGAACTAAAAGGGGAAGAAGGTAAAGTAAAGAAAGAGACGAAATATAGAAAGAAAAAAAGGAACGAGGTAGGAACTGCGCGGTTTTAATTATTCAATATGTTTGACCTGGCCCGCACTCGTGCCGTGTCAATTTTTAATGAAGGGGCCCCGTACGTGACCGCACTCGCGATTTTACCGAACTAGCGAAGGACTAGTTTTGGGTCTCGTCGTTTCAGTGCGGAACTGTAAAACCGTCATTGAATATTCATCGGGCATTCTTTGCGGAGGCTCGCGCATTATTATTGGTTTAATAATTTATGCGGCCGCGGAAGAACCCCAGGATGGAGTTACGATTAGTTTGGTGTTGTAGATTCACATAGCCGATCGAGAATTGATGGGGAACGCAGTAATTGCCGAAAGTAGAGAACTTTCTTGGGGGAAGAGTTTTCAATTTACCCAGCCCTTTTTTTTAACCCTCTAAAAAATTCAATACCTATTCCTAACCAATTAATCAAACTTTCTTTGTCTTATTTTATTATTATCAATAATTCTTGAATCAATTGGATAAACCTTTCTATTTCTTTGAGTGTAATATAAAGCGATCTCCACTGAGTTCCTTTTAATTCTCATTTAACTGTGATTCACGTTAAACTAAGAACGGAAACGAAAAACCAGTTAAAACTAGAACTGACACTAGTAGCTTGTATAGAGCTACATAGTAGTGTTGCCACTACAATTTTCATAGGTTAGCTTATTCCCCTTTTTCTAGACTGAATAGATAATTCCTCTTTTCCAATTGGTTGGGTTGGGTTGGGTTGGGTTGCATTGTATTATGTTGGGTTGTGTTTGGGTTGGGTTGGGTTGCATTGTATTATGTTGGGTTGTGTTTGGGTTGGATTTGGTCGGGTTCGGTTGATATTCCAGGTTCCTGCGGGAAACCCAACCCAATTTCTCTTGGAGAATTATGAGTGCAGAACTTCATTAAACTAAAACTAGAACTAACACTAGACCTACAACTAGATCATTCGGGTTTAGCCGTCTTAAGCGACGTATGGCTAAACCCACATGTTTCTAGTTCTAGGTCTGATGTTAGTTCTAGTAACAATGCAAGTGTGAAACTAGAACTAACACTATACCTAGAACTAGAATCATTTGGGTTTAGCCGTCTTTAGAGACGTGCGGCTAAACCCAAATGATTCTTGTTCTAGGTATAGTGTTAGTTCTACATAGTAGCAGTGCTAGTGTACGTAGTAACAGTACTAGTGTAAAACTAGAACTAACACTATACCTAGAACTAGAATCATTTGGGTTTAGCCGTCTTTAGAGACGTGCGGCTAAACCCGAATGATTCTAGTACTAGGTATAGTGTTAGTTCTACATAGTAGCAGTGCTAGTGTACGTAGTAACAGTGCTAGTGTAAAACTAGAACTAACACTATACCTAGAACTAGAATCATTCGGGTTTAGCCGTCTTAAGAGACGTTCGGCTAAATCCGAATGCTTCTAGTTCTAGGTCTAATGTTAGTCCTAAAGCTACTTAGCTCTAGTCTTAGTTATTATTCAGCTTTAGATTGTTGTATGTTCTTATACAACTAGAACTAACACTAGAAAACAACAGTAAAAAATGCAATACCTATTCGTAACCAATCAATCAATTAATCAAACTTTTTTTGTCTTATTTTATTATTATCAATAATTCGTGAATCAATTGTATAAACCTTTCGATTTCTTTGAGCGTAAAATAAAGAGGAAGCACGTCATTCGTACGACAGCGATTTCGACTGAGTTCCTTTTAATTCCCAGTTAACCGCGATTCACGTCTAACCAAGAACGAAAACGAAGAACCTTCGATATCCCGATAACCACCAACGCGCGGCCGTCGTAAAATTTTATCCATCGTCCTGGACTTGATCCCGTCTTTAGTACTTCCGATCCGTGCCATCTTCAAACTCCCCCGAAACTCTCCACCCCCCATCACCGTAACAATAAAAATCCACGTCTAATGCAACCAACTCCAAAGAACCATTCTATCTATTTTTACACCTATCCTAGATCATCATCAACTTTAAATGGGGAAACTTGAACAATTTTTTATGTACCATTAAAACCTTTTAATAAAATTTTAATTAAAAAAAGCAATCTTACCTGTACAATAATTAGGTTCATCGGATAAATCTCCGCAATCGTCAGCTCCATCGCAATAAGCGTTTAGCTTAACACATTTTCCATTGCGACATGGAAACTCGCTTATTCTACAAGCTGGACCTGGAATCGCCTGCTGCACTAGGCAGACCAGGACGAGGGCCGTGTAAAACCGCATCCTGTAAAAGGAAATAAAGGGTGGTTAATTATTTTAACGACAGCACACGATGGGGATGCTCTAATGTAACTTTCAACTAAAGGACGACTACTCCTGTGTAGTCGAGACATGAGAACACTTCAAAATGGAAGTTAACGAAGGTCAACTAAAAATACATTTTTTAATTTCATTTTTGGTGCTACAACATCAAAGTTTCATCAATTCAATTAGGTTTAATTAAGTTATTTCACCTAATTAAGGTTCATTATCAATTAAATGGTTATAGGGTAATTAATAGAATTTGCAATATTTAATCGAAAATTCAATTAGAGTATATATTATTATGTCAATGTTAGTGTTTTCTGCTTCAATAAGGTGTAATTGGTAAAAATTGTGTAATGGATCTTTCTCCTTTTTGTAAAGTCTCTTTTTGCCCTTTCCAGTATCTATTCAATATCGTTCTTGTATTACCGGTCTCTTTTTTCTCTCCCCAGACCCAATTTAGTCTATTTCTGCTATTACCAACTTTTTTTCCAGTCTTCCTCCTTTCTTCCCAGTCTCTGTCCAAATATTTTTTTCTATTACTAGTCTCTGCTCAGTCTTCTTTACCTCTTTTCAACCACAATCTAGTCTTTTACTGCTATTACTAGTCTTTTTCCGATCTTTCTGCCAAGTCCCTTTCTGCTCTGAAATCTATTTTTCTCTCTCCACACCCAATTCAGTCTATTTCTGCAATTACTTTTCTGCTTTTAGGACAAATATACGTCCTTATTGCTCCAAGGTATTGTTCCTTTATGTCTGTAGGTGTCAAAAGAGCTTTACCAAAAATTTTGTGTCTTAGGCGGCCTCTGGCAACGCAATTACACAATATATGTTCAGCCGTTTCTGACTTGTCGTTACAAAGTCGACAAGTTTGATCTTCAGCTTGTCCAATGTCTTCAGGCCTCCCAACTGTTGATTACTTATTTTAGGTGGGCTTTTTGTAGTTCATAACCGGGTTGGGGTCTAATGAAGGGTGTTTTCGCTACCTCTTTGGCCTGGAACCCACCATAGAGTAACATCACTGCCCCCAGAGAGTACAGGTTGCGGTGCAGAAGTTTATAGCAAGTACTACTGCTTGAAAAATGGTTATGTCCGAGCTGAGGGGCAGTTTAATGAGAGGTAACATTAATATTTAAATATACTGATGTATTAAATAGATAATATTAATAGTACGAGATCCGTTATATTAAAGTTTTGCTGTACATTTAAACCGTAAATCTGGTAAATGTTACAATGTGAGGAGGTATTTAGCGGTGACAGTTTGTAGTGTCAAGCGAACCGTTTCGGATGGAGCTTTAGTTTGTAGCTTTATAGGAGGAATTCCTTTATAATGGAAACGGCTTCTCGAAACAACTAACCCGCTTCCGTTCGAAACTTTACCAGTCGCAATAACGATACCGGCGAAAATGAGGAAATTGAATCTATATAAATGGGCATGGGTTGTTGGATTTCATTACTATACATATATATAGAAGCCCTAATTTAATTTAGTATGGAAGAGAATTTCACGAAATTAATTTAATAACGATAAAAATATTGAAATGACTGGAAATGTAAATGGGATATAAAGATGTAACGTTAAGCATCGTTATCATTAAAATATCACGTCCCCAACAACTTTTAATAATACGTATTGTTGAGTGTTTAGCCGACTTGGCATTGTGTCCAATTTGTATAGACGGGCGACGCTCATTAGTGTCGAGAAAAATGAAAGCGCCATATCAAAAACGATCCTTAATTAAAAAAAGTTAAATTTTCCGTCAATTTCACCCCATCATTATCGGGAAATAATTCAAATTAAATCAAACCAAAATTTATTTTCATAAAACCAACGTTTACATTATTACAATTGCGACATCCCCGTTAAATCAGTAATATCCGTCGAACTTTTAACAATTGTAGCTTGTTCCTCCTCCTCACCCATTTCAACATCCTTCAACTTCCTCGCTTTCTCAATTTCTTCAAACAACCTGGCCGCAAAGTCGACGATATCGGGTGGTTGTACGATTATCGCGCTTATGGCTAATTCAAGAATGAGGTTTTTAAAGAGATCGGCTTTTTCGGTCATTTTGATTAATTATAACAAAAATGAAATATGCCATTATTTTTTTTGACATTTGTACATGGTGTGCAATCTTACTACTATAAAAATGTAGACCGAGATTTAGTACCCTCACAATCCACTGGATGACGTTGTAAACTGAATTTGCAGCAATCTGCATTATCTACACAAACAAAGCGCTTGTAACCATAGAAAAATTTATGTATAACGTCAAACTCAGAGGTGAAACCAAACGTCACATTTTTGTTTTGTCGTTTAGTGTAATAATTGGTGATAACCCCGTTGTATGATGCATCAATGAGGAGAATTTTTCAAAAATGTTAAAAATAGAAGAGTGTTGAAAAAAAACGGTATCCGGAGCATAATACAGAAAAACTTTTACTACAAAACAACAAATGGTGCCCTTAACGCAATGGTCTGTAACAATACAATAATAAGTAAATAAATAAATAATAATTATTAATTTAAATTTACCGCCAAAATATCTAGTGATATTTTCTGGTGATTTTTCCCAGTGTAAATCTGACTTTCGCGTTGACTCCTCCTGGTTTAAAAACAGAGTATAGTTCTAGTGCAAGTGTTAGTTCTAGTTTTAATTGTTATTCAGCGCTAAGTTGTANATTGAGTTAACACACCGGGTTTAGTGTAATAATTGGTGATAACCCCGTTGTATAAGCAAATTATTAATTATTAATTATTATTATTAATTATTTATTTATCCAATAGATAAATTGGCGCTTTTTGCCAATGAGAGCAATATACGTTAAAAATTATGAATATTATCTTGGAAAAACTTTAAATTCATGTTTTTTCCTATTTATTTGGAAAATGCACTTGACCTCTTCAAATAAAGTAATGGTATAAACCGGTATAGACCTATATTTAAATTTCGCGCTTTAACCTAATTAGTAGGGCACGGAACTTTTGTAACAAAACGATACGATTTCCCCCTTCCACTCGTTCTGATTAAAGGAACAGCATACTGTTCAGTGGAAAATTAAAATTTCAAGTTAGAAAAAAAATGTGTTAACAAAAATTGTTCCTGAAACAATTCTAAAGAAACTTTGTCAACAATTTTTTTTGATTTAATCAATAATTAAAGAGATAACCTCAAAATAATAATTTTTCCACTTTTATACATAATTACACTTAGATGCTTAATTAATAGAGATGTAAAATTTTTTTATTAAGATAATTGATTCAAAATCGAAATTGAAACAAATTTTATTTAAAACATTTTTTGATAAAAACAATAATTATTGAGATAATTACTTTTGATAGCATACTATTCAGAGGGAAATTAAAATTTTAAGTTACCAAAAATTTTATTAACGAACACTGTTCCAGTAGTAATTCTAAACAAATATTGTTTATAAACATTTTTGATTTGATCAATAATTAAGAACATAACCTCAAAAAAATGTTTATATATATATTTTTATATATTTTTTATTGAAAAAATTATTTTAGAATTTAATTTAGAACAACTTTTGTATGAAGTTTTCTGCTGAGAACGAGTGGAGGGGGGAAATCGTGTCGTTTTGTTACAAAAGTTCCGTGCCCTACCAATTAGTTCCCTCACAATCCCCTTGGGAGCGTTTGTACCAAAAAATAGTGGGGAGATGACCTTCTATATACATAATATATATAAATTTTTCTATGTTTGTAACTAGATGAATAAAATATAATAACGAGGTTTGAAGCTAAATAAATACACGATCCCTCAGGCACATAATCCGAAATAATTTAGAACCAACTTCCGCCCTTAATACAAGGAAGACGACTAATTACGTTAATTGTGTTATCCCTGAAAAATCGATAATCACAACATAACTTTTTATCTATCCGTAAGTTTAATTTTGTTCCAAGTTCCTAATCACCACCGAAGCAGCTTCATCTCATTTCGGATTCAAAACAACTAATTGCGAATCCGCGGATTTCCATATCGGGGTGTAACAATCGTGGATGGAGAGAGCGGGGTTGAAGGGGTTGGCTTGAAGGTAAACGCCGCCACCGCCGTCGTCACGTAAGGCATTAACGGCTTTCCAGGAATTAATTTCGAATTTCCCGGCGAAGGTGTCGCGTAACGCGCTTCTCTCTCATCCTACTGGTTTCGGTATGCCGAATAACTTTCACGTGCTAACGATTATTTTCTTCTTCTTGAATCTACACTAATTATTATACATTATCAACATTCAAACTTTGCAGAAATTAATTGGACCATATTTATGAAACAGAAAAATAGTATATTGGAATATAAAATTTGTAATTTGCAAATAACGAAATGATAGAACCTATACTGAGACTCAACTGCAAGCAAACTCGGCTTAAATACTCAAAATCAGACATTACCTTTTTTTAGTTAAGCCGAAGTCGTAAATGTGTATTGGGTTGATAATTCGAAAATGCACTGTGTAATATGTACTACAAGCAAAGTGACACTGGTTGCCCAAAGATGAATTCCAGAAAAATGGCAAAAGAAGTCGCAACCTAATTGCTGCCAAAATACTTCTCCTGATCATTACGCTTGATGGCGTTGGATAAATCTTTTTTCTAGTCCTTCATCCACCTCTTTCACTCCGGTTCCTGGATACTTCTTTTATATCTGTTAGAGTTTTCCTTCTCAACTTCTGCCATTCTTTCCTCCCACTTCATCTCCTCTTTTTCTTTGCTTCAAATACCTTTTTTACTATTGTGTTATGTTCCATTCTTATTTCCTCATTCTTTATTCTATTCCACTTCGTCTTCCCGGGTCCCAAGGTCCAAACTTTCTAGTTCTGGGTCTAGTGTTAGTTCTAGTTTTAACTGTTATTCAGCGCTAGATTTGAATGCTACTAATTTTAGTTGTAGATTTAATTCAATTAATACCGGTTGAACAAAAAATTTGATAAAAATTGTATTAAATCATCTCTTATTAT